ACAAAGGTGGGCATATATTAACTTGTAAAATTCATAAAATGGCCACTCCTATCCCATTACAAAAGGAGTAGGTTGGACTACAAAAACTAAACTCCAGACAATAGATTTAAGAACTCAGAAAATGGCTGCCCCAGCTATGCGGTTGAATACAGTTAAACATAAACAGAACCTCCATTACACGAACCTCAGAAAAGAAAGACAAGAAAATCAAGATGAAAGAAACACAAACTTAAAGCCAGTCATACCGCATTCATTCAACCCATAAAACCACATCTCTTTATTAACCCATTCAGATGAAACATCAGCATAAAGAGTCCCAAAGTTTAAATCAAAGCTTTGCAAAACCTGACTCAACTATTTTGCCCAAGCTTAGCACCTCATTCAAATCATCAGATGCAATAATGAGAGGTTTTACTGTGAGATGGCTTGCGGTCTAGGTGAGGGAGGAGGGAAGATGGAAAGCAACTTCGGATGTCGGCTCTACTCAAGTCCGTCTCCAAATCGGGTCGATTCTCACAAGAAACTTAGATTAGTCTGAGGCAAACAGCAGAGCAATCTGATGGGTTTTAATCGAGGTAGTTAACTTATGGTTATCACTGAGGGCATCCCCCCGTGATTGCACCGCAAAGGCCCTGTGACACTGGATCCTCGAAGGAGACAGCACCTAGGTGGAGATTCCGTTTTCTCACCCAACTCGTTGGGTTGAAAGATGATACACTGCAGTCCATGGCTTTTGACGACAGGAAAAGTGGAAAGAAATTTTCGATAGCTTCCAGGAAATATCACGACTGCGTGATATGTTTTTAAATCTAGCTTTGGAAGGAGGATCCTCTTTTCCCTCCAACTCTAACTTTCTCCCTTATTATGCCTGAATCTGAAGAACCCTATTTTTGCTCTCTGTGCCTTTGCTGGGGCGAACACACGTTTCCCATGCTATCTGTGCATGCTCTGGCATGGTGAGTGTTTCGGTTTGGCAGTATATGGTGACTTCATATCTTATGCTCTCATGAAGATTGAGGGGGAAAAGATATCTAAGAGTATGGTTTTCCTCCAAGCCAGGACCATTTCACCATTGGAAATAGGCATCTCGTAACCAACAGCAATATTATCTTGTCAGTTCAGTCTTTTTCTGATGGATGCAAGGGGCACTGACATCACGGTGGCTGGGTCAGCAACCCAGTCTCATGGGAAAATGTACCCCCACTACGTTGGTCCATACTGCAAAACGTAGTGGAGGTACATTAATGGCCTTTTTTTTGTGGTACTGTTACATTTCTTCTGCCTATACGCTTTCTATTGTTTTACGTCCTAGTCACGTGACTTTCAAGATTCCAGCTGGGAGAAGAAAAAAAATATATATAGATGGCCGACATTCGCTCATTTTTTTGTGGAAAGATTAATGACTGGAGTTTGTTTTTGCATTAAAATGAGTTTTGATTACATTTCTAGTGAGAAATGTATAGTTGGTTGCCAGAATATTTACTCAGGGAATGTACATATTCACTAGGTTGTTCGTTTCTTGCAAAGATTTTTCAAGATAATGTGAAACTGTAACGTTTTGGTATAAACATGGCTTAGATTTCTCTAACTTTTAGTGGGAAAATCAATAATTTCAATCAGTTTCTGCATTTAAATGGGTTTTGATTACATTTATAGCGAGAAGTGTAGGGTTTATTTACATAATATTTACTTAGTGTAAAGGAAGAAAAATATTCTAAAATAGT